GTATCCATTAAAGTATTGAAACTCTATATAAAATAAAGTAAAACAGAGCAATATAAAGAAACTAATAAAATACTCCATATATAATAAAAAAAATGTTCCATTTTTTATTCAGCATATATTTAGATAGTACATGATAAAGGTTGAATGTACAAAAATTTACTTTTTATACGATTTAATATATTTATATTATCCTAATTACTTTACAAACATCATACAGTCATTTTATATGTATATGAAATTTTTGCCATTTTATAATCTCTGTATTTATTCATTACAGAAAGTATCTCATTAAATAAGTTATATATAATTATTATATCATAATTATATTAAGCATAATAATTGAGATTAGCTTTCTTCTTTGCCTGAACTTCATTGATGGCTTCCATTAAATCTTCATGTGTAACTGCGGTTGCGTTACGTCTCAATGCTATCATACCCTGTAAGAAGTGGTATGGAATTAACTGTTAATGTACTGAATTCATGACAATTCAACGCTTTTATATTACGTACCGCTTCTACGCAAACAGCTTTGCATTGAGCACCATTAAAATCATCGGTAGATCGTGATAATTCTTCGAAATTCACATCTGGAGACATGTTCATTTTTCTGGAATGAATCTGCATTATACGTGCCCTGGCTTCTTCATTAGGATGTGGGAATTCTATCTTTCTGTCCAAACGACCGGATCTCAACAAAGCTGGATCTAAGATATCTACTCTATTTGTAGCTGCTATCACTTTAATATCTGTATTTGAACTGAATCCATCTAGTTGATTCAACAACTCTAACATAGTACGTTGTACTTCTCTATCACCAGCTTTTTCAGAATCAAATCTCTTTGTACCAATTGCATCTAACTCATCAATAAAAATAATTGCTGGTGCTTTTTCTTTTGCGAGTGAGAATGCATCTCTTACTAACTTTGCGCCATCTCCAATAAACATTTGGACCAATTGTGGACCAGCTAGCTTAAGAAAAGTTGATTTTGTCTGAGCAGCACAAGCTCTGGCTAACAAAGTCTTCCCAGTTCCTGGTGGTCCATACAAAAGTACACCTTTGGGGGGTTGAATACCAAGAGTCTCGAATTTTGCTTTATGTGTCATAGGTAAGACGACAGCTTCTATCAGTTCCTGAATTTGTTTATCTAAGCCACCAATGTCAGAGTATTGTTCTGTTGGCCTTTCATCCACCTCCATAGCTTTGACTCTTGCATCATATTCAGCTGGTAATGTTTCCAGGACTAAATAACTGTCCTTGTTAACACCTACCAAATCACCTGGTCTTAAAGCTTCAGCATCAACCAAACCTATTACAGGAAGAAAATATGTCTGTCTTGTAGAGGTTTTAATAACTGCACATTTCCCTTTCCGTTGTGCATCCAAGTCCACAACTGCGCCATCCTCTTCTCCCATATCCTGGGGATCTACATCCAATAACTCTATGACATTGGATACCAGGTAAGGTAATGTCTTATTTACTTTTATTTTTTCAGTATTTTCTTTGATCTTGTCATTTTGTGCTTGCAGTTCATGAGAAATGCGCATGACCTCGCTCTTCATAATTTTTATTTCATTGTCTAACAAACGTGTACGAGACACAATTTCATCAACAGACATTCTTGACACATCTGCCAGAAAAAACTCCTAATAAGAAGATATCATGTTATTATAAATACAATATATATTATGATATCGTAATTGTTATTATTACTAATCTTTATAGTATAATCTATGGATTAATATCTCCTACAAGCGACTTAAATAAGATTTAAATAAGAACTTCACAAGTCATTAAAATATTTTTAAGCATAATATTTTAGATTAAGGGTAACAAGATATAAAATATGTTAAATTAAGTTTGTTTCGCGTCCATTTATATGTGCTTGTCATTCCGACATAACCACTATGAAATAAATTGTAAGCTCTTCACCTCTCCATCTTCCCAAATAGATTTATCCTCGAGAGTAGCCATTTAACTTAATAAATGTAATAACTTGAAAATACTAAATTTCTTATACTTTCTGTATCGTTATTTTATTCCTAAATTCTGCTGAGGAAATGCTCATGGAACTGTACTACAATGAAAGTAGAATGGATGCCACAATGCCGTAGTTGTACATACACACATGGCTCATTTCCACGACGCGAAGAAAGCTTGCTGTATTCTCCTCATGTGGAAAGAAGGGTATCGTTATTGATAATGAAGTTGAACCATCTTCTTGCACTTTATAATCACTGTCAAAAATTCAAACTTTGTTTCTACTTGTCAATTGACATTAGGACAGTTCTATATTGTAATGCCGTACCCACGTAACTTTTGCAGATTCAGACTTTTATTACAGAGGATTTGTGACAATTATCCGAACAGAGCAGAATACCAAGGAATATCCAGCTATTTTTTTCCGCCTCGTTCGCCTCTGAATGATTTTGGAAGATAAAGTGAGAAAATTTATTTATGTAGTAAAGTGGCCGGTATAATGTAACGACACAATACAGTCGAAGTGATGTTAAATAAACATTTCATAATAGACGTTAAATGAAGATACATAAGTTATACATTTTAATTATGCTACAGACGCATGTACCAGTCAATTAATTTCGAATTAGGGTTTTATTAATTTCGAATTACCGAAAATTATTTTACACTAGACATTTGTTTTATCTCAAAACAATTAAATATCTTCTCGTAGTTGTGAAAAAATGCATGTTGTGAAAAAAATGTTTGAACAAAAATTGTTTGGTATGTAAGAATACATTATGTGGTGTAACAAATTTTATTTTTTCAATTGGAATGATGTATTCTGTTTACATATTCTGTATGTATTTTGTTTACATAATTTTATTTACAAATTCACTGAGATACTATTGAAATTAATTCTTTTTACATATTTCTGTTTATGCAGTATAAGCTTCTGCATCATAGTACTATATGTCTCTACAATAATATTAAAGGAATGCAAGAGAAGTAAGGAAAATGCTTGCACATGAACATGTCGATGACTTTTTATTCCTATCCTACAGCCCCTTAAAGATATTTTGGAGGCATACTTTGGAGTCAACATAGCAGTTTTTCATGAATTGCAGACAGTATTTTTTAACTAATGATACCAGTTAATGGCATGCCAAAACAAATCACTCTGTTAGAATGAGAGGAGATCATGAGGAAGTTAAATGCTGGTGTTAGCCCAAGGATACTTGTACAAGGATATGGTATTAGCGAAAAGTCCATTCGGAGGTATAAGACTTTGAGCAACAAACCTTAAAGGTACTCATAAAATTCAAGAAATAAGAATGGGATGAGACATCGTTTAACTCCTTACAAGGATATATAGATGCCATTGTACAATTGGTTCATGCAAGAAAAACTGATACAGGATTCTATATCAAATCGCCTTATACAAGAGAAGACGACGGAAATATGCAAAGAAATTGGAGGTCCTTCGACCTTTAAAGCATTCAACGGATGGCTCTGTCGGTTTAAACAGAGATATGACATACCTCTTAAAAAAGAAATAGTCCCATACATAAAGGAAGCTGCAGCAAATAATTTTATACGCGAGTTTGCGCAAATAATGCACAACGAAAACATAAACTAACTACTATTAGTAGACAATTTTAAAAGGCATAAACTAACTGAGTAAGAAATCGATGATGGCTATTTTAAAATCGTATTTATACCACCATTGACATCGTCGTTAATTTTACCGATGGATGCAAGGAATTATTTCGCCATCAATTACTTTGCCGTGTGTGTGGCCAATTTTATACTGGTTATTGAACTGATTCGATTTAGTTTCTGTTGTCTCATAACATATGTTTTTTTCTTTTTTATAGATAGCGCACTACAATGAAGGTATAACGCAGTTTTACGCAGATTACGATATTAAGGATTGCATGTATATGATCAGCGATGCATGGAACAATATCACAACGAAAAATATTTATAATTCATGGTCAAAAGTTCTGAATCATACGGATTTATTCACAATCATTAAAGAAGATCCAGATTCTGAAGTACATGAATTAAATCTATTTACATGTATTAAAGAAGATCTAGATTCTGAAATATATATATTAAACATTCCTGAGGAGGTGGTCAAATGGATCTCGGAATGTGCAGATAATGGAGTAATAGAAGAGGATGCATCGATCGATGAAGAGATCGTCACGCTGCCTTCTACTTTTCTGATGGAAAATGAGGAAATTGATTACCTGTTGTATAATTAAGAAAAATTATATGTGTAGTTGATTTTGAAATGAGCATCCACGTAAAAGCTTTAAATGATTACTGTAAATTTTTATAAATGTGTGATATTCAATTTCGAAATTATTTTTATTATTATTATATGTATAATAATTTATTAATAGTACTTTGGAGTGTAGAATATACATTATTTTTATAACAATAACTATTCATAAGAATAGAGAACAAGACTGCTATTATTGCATTAATAAAGATTATTATTATTTATGTTAACAAGGAGTGCTTGTAAAACAAAAATTATGAAACTTAAAAGTAATGTAGTCAAATATTACTTTGATTATTAAATAGATATTATTAAAATATATTATAGAATATTATTAACACTAAACCTACTGAGCACTAAAAGCGACGAATTTCTGTTGCTCTGTAACAACGATAAAACCGAATCTATTTAGACTTCCCATCATTTTTATTACAACGAATACTCGGACTGTGAAATTCATTTAATAATTTCCTATGAAAAAGTCTCTATAATTTCATCAATTTTAAAATACAAAATGTAAAACCGGTCATTCTGACCGGCTTGATAGGTTTAGTGTTAAATAGAGAAGCCTGTGGAATACAAAAGGTTGTAAAACGCCTGCGTCAGGTATCGAGAATCTTTCCATTGATAATCTAGACACTTTGTAGTAGGTTAGGCTTGACAAAGGAGCGTTCATAGCATTTACCGTCATAAAGGAAAAGAAACTATCTATAATGGGAAAACGGAGCACTCATTAAATGTCATCAGCCGGGCTTGGACAAAAGTTTCTGCAAGTATCGACAATTCTTTTATTGCTGGTTTAAATACTTTCTTCCCCGGAACCGTAATTTCATAGCATATAAATTGAACACACTCGCTTTATGATTCGTATAATTGTACCCGAATGAATAGACGGAATAATTTGTTAATAACGGTCCCGGGGAAGGAAATATCTAAATCAGCAATAAAACGATTAACGATATTTGCGGAACCTTTTTCTGTTCGAACCCTGGCACATGCTAGGCCTTTTCGACCTCGGGCCCGGTCTGACGGTTTACAAACTCCTGTATTTCAAAGGCTCCTCTATTTAATAACAGCTCTTTCCAGGGCCATAAATTCATGCAAGCAGGATAGTTTATGCTTATTCACTCCAGAAGTGAAAATCAGTGAAAATGTCGATGCCAGAAAAAAATACAATTTTTACTAAAAAAATTCTACTTAACTGGTGGCACCATCCGTGGCACACCGTATAAGTTACAAGTCAATTTACCGTTTATAGTTTCGGCAGATTAGGTTTCATCAATTCAGCACAGACATCCTAAATCTGTAGTCTGTGGTTTCAATGTTTTTGTCGCATTGGTAATTCAGAAATTTATTTCAGACAAATTAAATTCAGTAGAAAATTATGTTTGTAACAGTACAATTAACCAAATATGTTTTGCAATAGATGCTACAATTTGTCTTACTCATTATATTAGGATATTATGTAGTTATTGTGTGATTGAAAATAATATGAGTAAAACAAAAATGTGATCAAAATATTGTGAGAAATATTCTGCAATTTGGATAATTTCGTATCAACATTTTTCTGATAACTTGAGACATCATAACAAAAAAGTTGATGACGAAGTGTATTTGGTAATTTATTTTAGAGTGTTCATTTCTATGACAAAATGACAACAGTGGCGTGAATGATGCTGTCTTGACACAACCGGAATTGTTTGTTTTGTAACGAATTTTGATCATATTGCATATATAGATGCGCGAGATTCATAAAAATGTCTTTAGATCAGACTGTTTGTGAAGGTAAAAATAAAAGTATTCATCAATATTAATGTTAAGATAATTTATTATGTTCAATGAAAACACGTGAAATCGCGAAATAATAACATATGCGGTAAATAAGTTGACATCATTTATAGGTTATTTTTATTTTGATAATTATTTTCAGATCTAAAAGCATTTGAAAGGCGACTTACTGAAGTGATTTCATGCTTGCAACCAGCTACTTTACGGTGGAGAAGTACGTTTTTCTCTTTTTCTGTACGTGCTATGCTTGAATATTGTTCATTGTAAACAAATCTTTGAAACAACAACAAATGCTTTTATTATACTAATTGTATATCCATTGTTTCTACACACAAATTTATGAAAACTTTATATACCATATATAAGGTTATTTGTCACATTTATATAACCATACATTTAATATTATACTTCTTTTTCAGTACTTCTGGGTTTTACTTCTGTTTGCACTGCAGTTGGTGCATGGCACTGGTTGACAGATCCTAATACACCAGCTGTATCATTTACACAGAGTCTCTGTAATCATCCATTCTTTGCAATTGCCAGTGTTATCTTAGGTAAATTGATTAAATGGAAATTATATTTTTCATGATGTCCCTCATTAAAAATCAGTAAAGTAATGTAAAATAAATGAATTTATTACAGTGATATTATTTATGATGGGAGTCCACAGACGTGTAATAGCACCAAGCATTATAACTCAAAGGGCTAGAAGCGTGCTTGGTGATTTTAATATGAGCTGTGATGATACAGGAAAACTTATTCTTAAACCAACAAGACCACCACATCCACACGAAACTTAAAGAAAAATGTATAAAATTTAGTTAATTCCTAAAGTGTTCATTTATACCTGAATTACTATGCAGGGTGTCCAGTCCATAAAGAATGTATATATGAAGTGATTTTGATACTGAAGTAGCACTAAAAAAATCTTATTTCTTGTGCTTAGCATTTAAAAATATAATGTTATACTATCTCACTGATTGTTACGTGTTTATAGCTGTACATTTTATGTATATTCACTTTTAACACTCTTTAAAATTAAATGATGTGAAAATATCTACCAAATAATTTAATAATCATTTGTAAAGCAATGTCGGTAAATAGA